TTCTATCTAGCTCATAAAATTTATTTTTTTATTTATTCGAATTGTTAATAAAGTTATTTTCAAAATTTTGTGAGAAATAAAACGTATTAAATATGATGTGCAGATAACTGCTTAGTCTTCTTATTTTTTACGACAATTCATTGTATCTACGGAAAAAAGGTAAAAAAAATAAAATCTATTACCATGAAATATTATCCTATTTTACTTTAACTGCGGGTATACGAGTTTGAAAAGCTATCAGTATACCTCTCGATTTCACCAAATGATCTTTAACATGTGCGGTTTGTGTAAAACTGTGCGAGGACAGGTCTCTCTGTTGCATCTCAGGTCGAGAACTTAGACAACAGACAAAAGAACAATAAATTATAAGACGGGAAGGGCATCGCTTGCAGACTTCTTCCGGTAACGACATTTGAAAGTAATTACGGATCATGGTTTGGGTCGCAACGTAAAGTTGAAAAGAAGCGAACGTGACTAACGCCACATTCCAGGATTAGCGATTCTGGTCCTTCGCATTTTCTTTCGCTCTTATGAAATAGGCAAAGACTATATTATTTTGCCGTTTTATTTTTGAGATTTAGGATAACATTTTTATTTTTTCTAACTGACTATTCTTAAGGTATGTGTCAGGTTAAACAATAACTTGTAAACTGCTGTTTCGTGTACAACCTCCATAGATTTTCGCTTTCTGGAAGAAGAATTTGAAAAAATTTTTTCTCTCAAAAGTAATTTTTTATTTGCCTGAAATCTTTAGATTTTCGGGATAAAAATCGAGAGTCGAGAGAGTTTGCAATAGGACAATAGGCAATATGAGTATTTGTTTATCTAATGTCTTGGATAATCATGAATTATACAGTCAGATTTAGATCTTCAGTCCGTTTCAAAAGTTAGAAAAGTAACCGGTCAGTATTTTTACATTCGAAAAGCGTATTTTGTCCATTCTCTATTGTGAATAGACGTGGCGAATAGACGTTCTCTCACGGGACGAGATCGAAAGATCGAGGTATTGATCGTAAGCGGCTTGGTTTTTGGGGGCTCTCCTTTTGTGTGCACGATCGGCTATTGGCTACGCTCGTAAGTTCACACCTTGGCATAATCGGTATGTTCCGACGAGCGGGACACATTTGGCAACTATTACGGCCGTGACACTTACACCCCACAGCACGGTCTTTCTTTCGAAAGACGAAAGACGACCATTCAAAAATACCTATACACCCCATCAGAGTTGCGAATGCATGTGAACAGAGCGCCCTGCGAGCCTGGATCATTGTCGTATCTCACCTTGTTTCTCACTATACACCACGTCTTATTTTGCCTTGTTAATATGACAAGACAACGAAAATAAATAAAGGGAATAGGATTATTATTAGTATCGCTTTACCATAGATAGTAGAGCTTGGACTCGGAGCTACTTTAATTTAATCATTTAATTTGGCGGTACAGTACGTGAGCAAAGTTTTTCGTGCTCTTTACATATTTATAAATATTAAATTTTCCTTTTAACAACAAATCGCTACGTTATATGTAAATGTGAAACGGGAAGGGTCCTCCTGATTTGCCATTTAAATCCTTATCCCGCGAGAAACTTGTCGAACTCTTACGTGCGAAAAGCCTTCTGCTTTTCGTTAGCTGTACGCACGCACGCACTCACGCATTCACTCTCTCACTTTCTCATTCACGCACTAACACGCGCGCGTTAACGCGCGTGTGGTGTGCAGCTCGTGTATACGGGGGTTCCATAATATAAGTTCATCGCGGGCGCGCTGATGCGTACGTAATCCCGTGGTGCTTACCGATAGCATCACCAGGGTTTTATTTTCATTATTCATTTGTTCGGCCTCTCCCCATAGACGGACCCGGAAAGCTTACACGTATAACCCCATGTTTCTACGTCGGTTTAATCAGATAAAACCCTGCCGGCGAAAATCGGCGGGCGCTCCGCGGCATGCGGCGGCCGTTTTCGGTCGACGCGACGCGCAAAACGTGCGTTTGGACGCGGGCGCTCGTAAAGCGCAATACGGTTTAACGTGTAACGAAGACAGATGTCCGTTACGTATATTGATATGGTAAGACCATGTCGCGTATCATCGATGAGTTGCTGAAGTGGGTTGTCAATTATTTGGCGACCAATGCTGATTGAGCGAGATCCAGTTCCTGAACAAATTGAAAATTTCTCATCAAGTTCAATGTAATCAAATTTATCTCACCTCACGTGTCTACTGCATCGTATAATATCCTATTATCGAACGTGCGAAATAAAGCTCTTTCTCGCGATCGATAATTATTCTTTGTCTTACGTTAATTGAAACAGTGTGATATTAAGCGCGATATTTATGCGGTGACTTGAAAGTAATTGTTGTTGTATATCATGCTGTATAACGTGTGCGAAAGTTACCTGTTTACAGGTGTACGCTCGCAGCGGCGTGGTTTTTTTCCGCGTGTACACACCGCGAGACTTCATCAAATTCTTTAATTACCGAGTGAAGGATGATGTAGGAAGCGTGAGAGTCGCCGCCGGAAGGGCGGGAGAGAAGAAGCGAGGAGAAATAAGAGGAACGTAATTAAGGGATTAGCTTAGTTAATGCAGACGCTGGCTTAACGAATCGTAATGTAGAGGGCTGTTACAAAAATATGTTTCGCCGAGCGCCAAGTCAGCCCGCGCTTGATTAACGAAGTGCATGTCTCGGGAAATTTTCCTGTTGTTCAGAAAAACTTACGTTCATGTGTAAGTGGAAAAAAAAAGTAAAACCGCATGCGTGCACAGCACTTATATCGGATGTACGGTATGGAACGCTTTAATAAATGGTGATTAGATTAGAAAACATGAGATATTTTTTATACATTGAAATATTTCATTAATAATATAATTGATATTTTTTTGATATCCGTTACAATTTAGTGGGATGAAAATTTAATTTAACACACAGTCTGTTAGAGCGGGATCTACTCGACAAAATGCTTATACAATCCGTTTAGTTCTCAAGCGCAGAGGGATATTGGTTGTCCCAAGGTGTCGATATATATCGTTTGGCTAAATACTCGGGAGCAAGTATCTCCGGGCCGTCATCGGGTACGGGCAATATCGCCCACGCTGTTTTTCCAACAAAACGCCACCGCACGGTTATCCGGGCGTCTTAAGACTCGGGGATAGGATCTTCTTCACTGGCGAAGAAACACGATATTCCCCGACATGGTCTGCCCACGTGTTTCGCATTGACCGTTAAAATTCGCCTCCGCACGCTCTCGTCGCGATCTGTCTCGTGTGCTGGTAGGCGGTGTATTATTTTTCCACCGGCTCTCGCCAAATTGGCTTGCACGGAATCTCAAATTACGAACATTCGACACCGCCGCGCGAGGAAGGTAGAATCTCTATCGTTCATTTCTTCTCCTCCTCCTCCTCCTCCTACTATCGAAACCTACCCCTCGTTCCCTGTGGTTTATGCCTGCTCTCTGGTAGGGTGGAAAAAATATTCCACAATGTTCAATCGCTTTGCTCGTACTCGATGTTCCAATGTATTAAAAGATATACGCGTTTGAAAAGCGGCGATGTTTTTCTTGTTAATAGAGATTGAATTAAATCCGAGACAAATACGATTTTTCAGATAAACTGAGCTAATACGTAAATAGTGGTGCAAACGTATAAATAACAATTTTTTTAAATTTAAACTCTTATATGTGTATAAGAATTTTGACATAACTCAAAATTATATTACGCTTTATAAAGGGTAATTAAACTTGCTCTTTTGTAAATTCTTTTACAGTAAAAAGATAATAAAAAGATAACTCTTGTACAATAAAAAAGTATAAAAGAAAATAAGTAAATTAATAGCGATAAAGTGATATCAGAGAGAAACAGGCAGATATTCTATACCTGTCGTTCACATATACCGGAAAAAGGCGTGTCGTTATGAAATTAAGAGCAGAACTACATACTTGCAGGCATGTAAACCCAACATGCAGAGTTATTGTAATCGGGGGCTTCCGTTCGACGGAAGGCGCGGCGCATCTCTTCCTCAGTGATTTCTTGCACTCCTCTCTTTGCATGTTGTGACTCCCCCGGTAATACGACATCCTCGCTCATAGGGAGGGGGGGAGGGGGGCTCTCTCTCTTTCTGCTCGGGCGTAACCCAATAGGTTCTCCCATAGGAAGATCATACTTCGATACAAAGGCTGATCGCTACATCGCACGCGATCACGGTGCACGTCACGTAAACTGACGATCTTCATAGCACCATTTGCTGGCTCATCGCATAACACGCCAATATTGCGCCCCTTCTTGGAACGGAACGCGTAACGCCCTACACTTTAACGTTTCATCAACGACCGGTATATAGGCGAGTGCATACGAAAGTGCCTGATGGGAATCGCGAGCACGACGGTCGTCATTGTGACGCAAGAACGGATCGTTATGTTGAAATAAGCATTTAATGTAGACCGCGAGCGTGATTAAAAAAATATTTCTTTCTGATGCACTGTACAATATACATATAGGCCATCGATAAACCCACAAAGCATAATTTCCTTCTTACGTTTTGCGGTAGACTTGAGAGGTTTTAGACTTCGATCATTAATAAAATCTGTTCTTCAGAGCGAACGATACTCGAGAAATATCTTTTATTATTTTCTAAAGATGGTAACGTCGGAACAAAACGCATTCAGGGTTGACTTCGATTGTGAAAAAGGCTCTCTTTGCCCGTCAATCGGAAGGTTACCGGGAGCGGAACCCGTTCTGGTAGAATCTCGTAGCATTTCAATTAGTTGCGTGCGCGTTTCTCAAGATGCCACGCACGATAATTCGTGCGTACGGCCACGCGTTGCCGCGTCGTTACGCGGAAGAGAGGATCTTGCCGTCATTCAGGGCAAATGAGCCATTGCGTTCTTTGTATCTGCTTTTCTTTTGTGCCACGGCAACGGACGCGCCGCGCGCCGTGTGGAACAAAGGTAAAGGGGTTTTCAAAATGCGCCGATTCTTACCGGCAGAAAAAAAAGAGGCACGGATGTTTTTATTCGACCACAGAAGTTTCAGTTTTTATTGTCGGACACTGGGGAATGCCGTTCAAATACTCGAATACTCGATCATTCGTGTTTACGAGGCATGAGAGACTTTTTTTCGTTCGATCATAATTCACTTTGATATACTTGGATAACGTGACAATTTGTCATAGGAAACTCTGAAACTGATTATTGCAACTTTCGAATATTTTTAACCTTATCATTAAAATGTTTGTAACGATAAGATTAAGCGGTTTAAAAAAAACCTGATATCCACATCATTTACTTAAATCAACGTTTGTTCTTATTTACATCTTGCAAATCGACATATTCCGCTAATATGAAAAAGAAAATAATAGGGCAATCTTTTAGGACGACTTCGTCGTGTGGTCATCGCAATTACACTATATATTATTACAAAGTAATCGTTACAACAAAGCTTTTCGAAAAAAGACTCGCTGAAATGTCTGCTGTTAGTCCGACGATTTTTCCGCCCAGTCGTCTGTGTTGTTCTTTCTTTTTCCAATTTCAATTTGGCTTCATTCTTCGTTGCGTTCGTGCGTCTCGGACACCGCCAGTATTCGGACCAGATCATTGTTCGACTCGACGACGTTCTTGTACGTGACGGTATCCCCGTTCCTTCCCTTGAAGCTCCATTGGCTTATTGGCCGTTTGAAGAGAACCAAGACCGCGGCGATGATCACGGTAACGATCAATATCGAGAGGCCCGTCCATAGGATCGGATAGATGACCGACGAGTCGTATTCGCATTGCAGCTCGTGGCTCGGTATTTCAGCCAGAAGCTTGGCGTGGTGCCGATCCGGTGCGTGGCATCTGTCATACAAGTTTAACAAAGTGGTCGATTATATATCTCTGTATTCGCGATATCTTTCAGCGATAAAATATAGTTAAAAATGCCCTGTGGCAGCAGTTGCAATATTTACATTTTGTTTTACATCACGCTGAGATAAGGAACTTTATAAAACGATCGAATTTATTATTAACCAAGTGTGATCCGTGATAATAGAAAACGAATTTCTCTTCATAGAAATTCTCGAGACATCTGAAGAAATAAAGCTGAAGCTTGACGAACAGTGCGTGATGCGATATTGCCGTCATGTCATTTTACAACATATTTTTATCGAGATGTAAAAGAGATATTTATGATATTTATTAAAGGAATATTATAAATAATCGAAATAAATTCAAGAAAGTGGATATTAAAAACTCTAATTTGTTTTGCCTTTAATCGATATCGGTAGCAACTCGTACCAACTGAGAGTAACGTCTTCGTCGATATTTTACCTGATGTTCCGACTAAGATTCTTAGTCGAATTCAACAGGCCAATCCATTCCAACTTGCAGTCGCACTTCCAAGGATTGTTTCCCAATTCGATAACGGGTGTCCGTTGCACCAAGGGACGCAGATCGATACCCAGAGTTTCGAGACCGCACTCTTTTATCGAAAGGCGTTGCAACCGTGGCAACACGAGGCCGATCTGCGACCAAAGCTTAAGCTCGACTAGCCGTTTGCAACCGATCAACGATAACGTCTCCAGGCTGGCCAGGTTCTCAAGATCGTTCAGCGCCAGTGATGTCAAGTTTGGCATGTGGTTTAGCCGCAACTCTCGTAACTGCGGTAGATACAAGTTTTCGAGGCTTATCACTTGCGTGCCGGATAAATCCAACTCCTGTAAACTTATCGGTAACAGAGGTATCACGCTGATTGGATTCCAGGATAGGTCTAAGGTCGACAAGTTCGTCAAGGTTTTGAAGAAGTCCGACGAGAAGTACGGCGCGGATATGTTTCTCAAGTCGAGGTGTTTCAACGCCCTTAAATTCCAAAATGCGCTTTCGTGTATCCCATCCCCTATGGGATTATGGGATAAAGATAAATACTCGAGAACCTGAAAAAAAAAATTGCCGAATTGTGTGATGTAGCGACGGATGTGTGCGAAGCGGCAAAAAACCGATAATTCGTTCCTTCACGGATAGTTTCCGTGAAAAAATTCCAAGTGTTTAGGAGAAGATTGGAAAATTCCATAAAATTACCGTTAGGTGTTGTAACATGGTCTCGTTGACGACGGTGAGCTTGTTGAAAGAAAGATCTAGTATCTTCAGTTTCGGTATTCGGTCATTGAGAGCATTATCGTCGATGTATTCTAGTTTATTGCGGCTCACGTTTAACGTTTGCAGATTATATTCTTCCTTGCATAGGAAAAAAAATCGCTGAAGGTGATTCTGAGACAAGTCCAGCGTTCTCAGTGTTCCTAGATTGGTAGAGCAGTCCAGAAAACTGTCAAATTCGTTTCCTCTTAGATTGAGGTCTGTCACTTCCTGTAGATTGATCTGGGTCTGCACTCTCACGAAGAAATCTTCCTTTTTCAATTTCCGAAATGAGAGGTCAATCTGCAACGCAAATCCCTTTTTTCATATTTTACAGTTATTCGAACACGTGCGCGATCAAGCGAGGATTGACAATATTGAAACATATCGTTAATTTAATAGCGTTTCGCATATATTTATGTCGAAAATAAAAGAGATAGAATTTTCGCGAAATATAATTTTAGAGTGCGAGTTTAGTGCGTTTAAATCACGGAAAGCGATTGTTTCCGACAAGAAAATGACAAAATTTAAGAAAGCGATAAGCTGATATTCGACCGGAAACTGATATTCGCGACATAAATGACGAAAGTGTCACGAATGTCCCGGAAAATCATGAAATATTCACGCGCAACCGATCTGATTAGAAGAACCGAAAGGAACTACCGCGAAATTAAAAACCAACCCACCGTTATTGATGAGACGAACGAAACGACGATGACGAAAAATGCGAGCGATCCGATCCACATCATGATAGGTGGTAGTTATTTGACTAGTCAATTTTTGAAGCGTTTAGATCTCCGATCCACTCGATCGACCAACGATCGTCCGATCGCAGGTCCACGTAGCGCGAACTATGCTTCCCGCACCGCGATCCGATGGAATGGCAACGAATTCATCCGACACTCTCACAGAAGATTGTAGTGCCGAATTAAGAGGGGGGTAGAAGAGTTAATTGCATTATAATGCACTCCGCACTTCGATTAGCAACGCACATACGCCTCTGGTTAATCCATGTTGTTCCAAATCGCGATTTTTCATTTCATCCCGAGAGACGAGAATTTTCCTCGTTGTCTAATCTTGAAATTATATCATCACATTAATATAATGTTGATAGAGATGTTTTCGCTTCGCATTCGTGTACAAATCGATAACGAGATTCTGTATGAAACTCGGTATGAAATTATAATTCAGTTAGCAGATAATGTTTAGCTACTTATACCTTTGTATGCAGGTAAAAATCAATAAGATTTGTACGTAATGGAATTCACATATTGGCTATGATCCCGTTGACAAATTATATATACATATATTTTATTTTTTATAAAATGAGGCAGTCGGCGCCGCGAGACTCGCGGCGGTAATTTAATCCGCGTCCGGTCAGAAGTTCAGAATCGTCGAGGCTAACGCACCGCTCTCTGATAAACTAGCGATTACGCGAGTCGCGCCCATCGTAAATTCGTCCCGGCCCCCGGTCAGCGATTGTCTTTCCACCACAATTAATCGCGAATATTTTTTCAATTATTAAGCGACGTTCGAGCAATATCTCCGTATTCGTGAGATTTATGGAGCGTTAGAATGTGACGAGTTAGCGTTACTTTTTGCGACAAGACTCGCGTCCGAAAGACGTTAACATATCTGCTCTGCCATGCTTCGGAAAATAAAAATACGGACTAAGAGCGATAAACCTCGCTCTCTGTCACCGCGCGTCTAACGGCGATAATGTTGCTCATGCGTCTCGTCGTCATTAACGTCGTAATTATCGGTGGATCGTACGTAAAATTATGCGTTATTTTTGAAGTTTTATAATCTTGAAGATTATAATACTAAAGATTAAAATTTGCATCATATAAAATTATGCACCATTTTTGGAGCTATATTTTTAGAGATTATAATTAATTACGTAATTATTAGACTATCATTAATAGAATAGTGCAGTTTTAGGAAATTAATTTAGGTGAAGAAATAAAATGCACATTAATATTTTATTACTAACATTAAAAAAAGAGAAATGCAACATTGAATAAATCACAGGATATGTGATGGAAAAGTTGTTTAACATTGCGAATATCGGTCCAACTCGGTGGGAAATCAGTCGCGTGAAAATAATATAAACAAAAAACTCATTAAAAGTCGAGCATTTATTCACAGAGTCGTATCTTATTTCGCACCCGCGGCAATTAATTACAGCTGCATAGGCGCGATACATAACAATAAATATAGCAGCATCTCGAATATACGTTACGATAACAGAGTCAAGTGAAATCGTTCACTTTTTCGGCGTTTGCGGAGTGCTGGTGGCCTTGAAAACTAGCGGGTTCGACACTCGAAATATGCTAGGCAACATTGTGGCTAACGTTCCAAACACCTCCTCCGACATTCCCTGTAAGCGATAGCAACGATATCGGCATGAGCACAATCTTTTTCCTTCTTCGTCTAATCTCGGTGGATTAAGCTTTATCGCTCGACTTACTTTCGGCACGAGAAACTGCAGATTCTTCAACTCGGCTCCACCCCAAGAGGCCATTTCGATCATGAAGCCTTTCACGCACTTGAAGACTAGCTCGGCTCGTTTCGTGCACCAAGCGACCGTCATATCCTACAGTAGCACGTCGATGTAGATTATTTGTATTTTTACCTAATTATCTAAGAATTATCTAAGCGATAGATTACCTCTGACATTTCATGAACGAGCAGCACGGGTATTGTCAGCGTTGTCACATCGTTGCAACACGCCGTTTTTAAAATGTTTCGCAGTCCCAAAATAGCGGGATGTCTCGAGTTGATATCGCCTAAAATTAATATCGTGCATTAAACTTCGTAATCCATGACTTATGTAGGAAATTTATAATTGCTAATTATTTACCGGATCTCAGGGAATCGTTTACCACCATGTGGAACACTACGTGAACTTGCGCCAGATTGGAATGCCTCGTGATAAAAACGTCGCCTGTTTGCAGACTTTTGCTCGTCGTGGATTTTTTCGCCTGTAAACAACACATTTGCATATCGATATATTGCTAATAATCGCGTAAATGAAACTTTTAATACTACATTGCCTACATGGTGATCGCTCCCTTCCCTGTAGTGCGCCTGCCTCCAAGCAACGGCGTCCTTCACGTCTTCCCGAATTTTTTCCAATTGCTCATCGATAGGTGGAAAATGGAATTCCGTGGTTAATTGACATATCGAGCATAATTCTGAAACGATATAGGATATAGTACATAAATTTATAAGAAACACATAACAAATTAAATATAAAATAATTTAAAAATTATTGACGTAATTTATATTAGAATTAAAAAGCACCTTTTGTTATTCCAGAATAACTGCCTAAATGATTATCGCTTAGGAGGACTAATCCACAGAGATCGTTCGAGTATAGTCCTAATGCTGTTTGCAATCTTTGCGGCGTTGGATCCATCCTAAATTTAACATATTTTCTGTTACAATCAATTAAAATGTAAATCGGAAAAAATGTACATTGTCCGAGATATTAAAGAATTGGTTCTACACTTCGATAAAAATTATCAGACGTACCCGGACTCGCTATTTTTCGTACGACAAAAATCAAGTACGTCTCCGGTCAATATACGTATGTTGTGCATTTGTTTCATCTGAGATCCCAAATGTATGGTGAAGCTTTCTTCTAGTAGGGGATAATCTGTCGTTTGCTTCTCCTCGCTATGAACGAATTTGTCTAAAGCCGGACGCAACGGCGGCAGCGGTACCATAGGCGAACCCCTATCTCGTGAGAACGTACGATATATTTTCCTTTTGTCTCGATAAGATTGTTCTTTAATTTACTTGCTGTAAATTAATTTTCGGAACGCGAAAGAGAAAACCTACATTGGCGTGGATACCATACTGGTCTGTTGCTCTTCGAGCAGCCTCATGATCCAATTTCGGTACTGCCGTCGTTGATCTAATCTTAATGCGTCGATTCTGGATCCCCAGTAACCCTGCAATAGACTTTGCTCCTCGAAGTGACGACCAGCCATGTCGTTTATGGATTTTTCGGTAGATCCCGCTTCGAGGGCCTCGACAGCAACGCGCATTTCGTCGGTTTGCCTGAAATTTACGTATGATTTTTTTTTCCAAAACTTGTCATTTTAAGATAATTAACAAATAAACAGACTGTCAAAGAAGTTTTTGAGCGAGATTTATATTTCTGTATAATTTAATATCTTTTATGTATATGTATATGTAAAAATATGTGAGAAATGAAAAGGAGAATTGTAAGATGTCACTAACTTTTGCGTAAGATGTTCATAGTCAGTATCCCTCATTTGAATTACTTCAGTAACATCCCGTCCAAATTTGTGTTCTGCCTGTAAAATTGGTTCTAAGGACGGAGAATGCACTAATCTGTGATATGCCGCAGCAAACAATTCCTCATCTGTGGTCCCAATAGGATCAGAATATTCTACTGTCTTCTGCTTATATATTTTCTCCCAATTCTTAATTATGTCTTCTAAATCCAAACTGCCTGCTTTGGCAGCTTCGATAAGTTTCTCCGCCTTTTCATCGTGAAACTGCAGCGTAAGCTCCTTGATATTACGCTGCAGGGCATCCAATAAATCCGATTCCACATAACAAGGTAGTTTGAACGATGACATTATACGATGCATTAACTCTTTTATAGAACCGTGATACGGAATTTTCAAGGGAATTTCCAGTTTGTATTCTTGATTCGTGGTACATGTTGGAAACTTGTAGATGAATGTTCTCTCAACGTATTCCTCTTCTGCTTTATTCATCGCCTTTAATAATTTGTATATTTGTCATGTGAATTTTGTAATGAATTAATATTTATGAGAAGTAGATATGTAAAATGATACATTCTAAGTGGTATAGTGAAGCAATATGGTTAATAACCGCGATTAGAGTAATAAATTCCACATAATTAGTTCTTATCAGCATGTACACAGATATTATGACTTGAAAAGAGTGGTACACTTATCCCGCCAAGGTCAGCTTTCACAACATTCGGGTTAAGAGGGCAAAGATAATTCTCAGTAGCAGTTTTTGATGTTTTTATGTTTATTGTCTATATTTATTTCAAGACGATAGCGAACAGTCAATTATAAATTAACTTTAATTAATTACAAATTTGAAATTTGATTGTCCGCAAATATATAAATCCATCAAATACTATCTAAATCAAATCAACGTGATAATATATTTATGTGAAAAAATTTGTAAAATATCAGCAAAAGTGAGTACTTTTGTTATTCGAAATGATAAATAATTTTTCTGCTTAAAATAATTCTTTTTTTTTTTTATTTGCATTTAAACACGTATATTGTTGACACATTGAACGTGAGTTTTCAATTATAGTTTAAATAACCGACAAAATAGAGCTTTTTTTTTAGGTATTTGATTGCCCCTGCTTTATCGATTTACGGGGGCGCTAGTACAAGCTGTGGTATAAACATGATAAACAAAATATTGACCACCGCACAGTAAATAAGCCCGTGATTTAGTTTGTATTGTAGGATAATTCAGAAGAATACAACCACAATTCATTGAAGCACTAATATATCAAAATCTATATTGTCGAATCAGAAAATTACTTCTTTAAATATACATAGATTTTCTTATGTGTATAATAAGGAAAATTAAAATAAAAAAATTTTGACGCGAACGTCCGAGAGTTAATGGACATAAATTCACGTACTGACACTCATTATTCTATACTGACATGATATGTGTTATTCGATTATTGTATGCTTCGGTTTTATGATTAACCTGTCAACTTGTTAATGAATATAACCTCGGTAACTCGCACACACAGAGATTGCTCGTATTGTCATTGGACAGACGATGCAATTTCACGATTTTTTAAAATACAGATTTTTATATAATCCGAAATAGATACCGTTTATTTGTCGCGTTTTTTCGATTATTTGAAAATACACTATCTACGTGACAATCAACAATTTTTTGACGCCCCTTTTCTCCTTTTCCATGACTGTTCATGAGCAGAGAGAAGCCTGAGAAAGGCCAGTCCCCGGCCTTTTTCGTGGGACCGTCGAAACCTTCTTGTACACTACATCCATCTTCGAAATTGGTACTACGTAGCCACGTTCATTTTCCGACACTGCCGATAAAATATCATTCTGATACGCCGCAAATATATTTATTAATATATATAATAGTAATAAAATAATAGCAAATATTGGCCGCGTTCAGCATAGTCCAGGCGCCAGGTCGATTAAGCATTTTTTCGAGGTTGATGGCTTAAGTTAATGTTTTTTTTTTTTATGTTTTTTGGGTCGTAAAACAAGAATCTGTAAATAGTTTTTTCGTAAGTCGATGCAATATTAAATTGCCCTAGCGATCAAACTATACATCCTAGATAGAAAAATGAACTGGAGAAAATTTGTTCCTCTTTTCACGACGAACAAAATGGCGTTTGAATTTTTCCAAAATCTTGATTATTGACGGAAATATGTCAATTTTTAGGTAATTACTGTCTACGCGTCGCGGAGTACCCTATAGGCGTGCGCGCTCGCGCTCAATTGTACCACAAAACAAAAGTTCAGACAAGTTTAGAGTTTCAATTGTTTTAACGATACAATTGAGCGCGAGCGCCTAGGGTACTCCGCGATGCGTAGGCAGTAATTACCTAAAAATTGACATATTTCCGTCAATAATCAAGATTTTGGAAAAATTCAAACGCCATTTTGTTCGTCGTGAAAAGAGGAACAATTTTTCTCCAGTTCATTTTTTTATAGGATGTATAGTTTGATCGCTAGGGCAATTTAAACAAATAAATTGTTAATAACTTTTTATTGCATTGACTTACGAAAAAACTATTTACAGATAAAACATAAAAACACATTAACTTAGCCCTCAACTTCGAAAAAATGCTCAATCGACCTGGCGAATAGACTATACTGATGAGTAGCAGTCGAACGTGATTGGCTCTTACTTTTAGAACCAACCAATCAACGCAGTTTGTTGATAAGACGAACTCAACAGTTGTGTTTGCTAAACGCGACCATTATTTACACGCGAATCACGTGATAATAAAAACATCTTTTACTTGTAAGCTTGCATTAATTACGATTTTATGTAAAAAACCGATTGCGTCAAATATGTATACCATTTGCAGATGTAGCACGGACGCGCACCAAAATGATGTTTTATCGGCAGTGTCGGGAAATGAACGTGGCTACGTAGTACCAATTTCCGAAGGCTTCTCTAAAGCCAAGTGCAGCACAGTCGAGTTTGGTTTGGACGCCATATTAGTTACGTTCCGAAGGATTCTGTAACGCGTTTTTGGCGGCGATTTGGCAGATATTATTCACGGTGATAAATAAACGATTGTTTTAACAATGCTGGATCATAAGCAGACCGAAGAGCTGACGGATCACGAGGCCGAGTTGTATGACAGACAACTTCGTCTGTGGGGTTTAGATTCGCAAAAACGGTAAGTTTCATTGTTTCATACATGGTCTGATTCTCAAACAGATACCGGCGTTTTATGAAATTGCGAATTACAGGTGCGATACATGTAACACGACTGTAGAAAGATTTCTGGGATGGACGTGATACGTGTCTCTTCGTTATTTATCGATTACATGCATGCTTTACGTACATAGGGAACTTTCTAGTAAGCGACACAAGTCGACACAAACGTCGTTCTATCTTTATTTTTTGGCAATGAGTAACAAAGACAAAATGACACTTGTGTCGACTTGTGTCGCTTGGTGGAAAGCTCCCCTATATTTTATAAAGGACAAAAATATTTTGGAGTGATTTGTGTAGAATTTTAATTGAAACCATTGCTTTTTTTTACTCTTCTCTGATCATACTTTTCACAGATTGCGAGCTGCAAAAGTTCTTTTGATAGGACTAGACGGTTTCGGGGCGGAAATTGCTAAAAATATTATTCTAGCTGGAGTCAAGAGTGTTACGTTTTTGGACCATAGAAGTGTAACAGAGTTGGATAGATGTTCGCAGTTCTTTATACCAAAAGAAGATATTGGAAAGAATGTAAATGTTAAGCAGCAGATTATATTTTATGTTATTGCATAAATAATCATGTACTGGAATAATTACATATACTTGCAGAAAGCCGAAGCATCATTGTCACGAGCGCAAAACCTGAATCCTATGGTTAATATTAACGCAGATTCTGACAAGGTTGACGATAAGCCTGACGAATATTTTGGACAGTTTGATGTGGTTTGCGCTATGCATTGTACTATCACGCAGCTGAAAAGAATCAATCGGGCGTGCAGAAATCAAAACGTCAAATTCTTTGCTGGGGATGTATGGGGAGCACTTGGTTATGTATTCATAGATTTACAGGAACACGAATATGTGGAGTGCGTATACTTGTATTTATGAATTTAGCGTATGTAAATTAAGAACGAATTTTTTGTAAATCAATCATGGGAATTCTTCCAGGGACGTGTCAAAAACAAAGAAAGTAACAATACCGGAAGGTGGCGAGCCCATGGGTAAAGAAAGGATTGAAACCATAGTAGTTAATGAAAAACGCACCGACAATTTTGTACCGTTTGAATTTATCCTAAATGCTCCAAAAACATCTTTAGTTAGGGAAGAAGAAATCTACTATATGATGCTAAGTATGTGTTTAAAGTAAGAACGTTTTAAAATTTGAAGTAAGAATTTACATTTAATAGATATTCTAGAGAACAATTCTTTTTTTTTTTTAGTATTGCTGAATTATCGTGAAAAATATGGCGAGGATCCATTGCCAAGCGAAAGAGGTTGTGAAAACCTAAAAAATGAAGCTTCTTTAATTATTAAAAAATATGAGTTAGGCGACAAAATAGATAATTTAGTGGAGTACGTATGACAGTTTTGGCACGTAAATTAATTAATTAAAAAAATTTATATCCATAACAATGTTTTTGTAACCATAGGAGCGATTTGTACGCACAACTCAGTCCAGTTTGCTCTATTGTCGGTGGCGTAATGGCACAGGAAATAATCAAGGCGGCATCGCAGAAACACGCTCCACTCAATAATTTATTTACATTTAATCCAGCCACATCATGCGGAGTTATTTTGAAATTGGGATATTAATCAAACATGGTGTGTAGAGCTGAGTATACTAAAGATTTTCTATAATACTGTGATACACTGACTATGACATTTATGTTCCCCTACTTATCCCTTCTTTTTGTACGTGAAAAATTCTAAGAATTTATCAGCAAACAATCATATTTTAAAAATAAAATTTCTTTACTTACATATAGCAATCGCTACTATGAATTTTTATATCCACTGTAATATCCATATATATCCATACATTTATCTGCGTAATATATTTTATATGCGAGTGCAGAAAGTACAAACGCACATTTTGCAAACATATATGACTCACTGTCGAGACTTCCGGCAAGGCAATTTCAAGCTCGCTTTGTGAATTTTTTTCATGCGCTCTCGGGTGGAAAACACGTCGCGAAACGTGAAATGGGGATTGAAAAATTGGAAGGGGAGCCGATTAGGGTATGCCTCGTTATGCTTTATCGGCTCACCGACATTATTTTCAAGAGAATGCATTTTACACCCTATATTCTATCGAAATTTTCGCGGAAATGTATTGTTTGATTTCGCAATAGTTTAATCCGCATGGATATACATAATAAAAAATTTTATAGCGCAGTAATGGCAATAATATAATATAATAATCTGACTTCGGTATGAGCAATTGCAGTGTTATTTACTTCAATTCAATTCTTCTCTTTATGTGAGATTGTACATAGGTATTCGACAAAGTATATGCGCATATATGTATGCTATGTGCGTTCTTCTGCACACACACGTTCGCGGGCGAGGTGATTGATTCGATCTTCAGCTCAGAATTATGATGTATCGTCTTTTTCCGTGCATACGATGTTGCGTATCGAGCCTATCACCGCGGTATGAAAATGCAAGGGTAGGCATGTAAACCGCTTCGCTCGACTCTCCCGTCGCAGGTATACATGACGTGTTTCTTAACGATGCGGCCACGTGCGTTCACGGCTGTCGAATTATCTCGCGCGACGTTTTATTTCGTGCTCGTCGAGAAACCATTAGCCGGCGCGGCACGTAAACGCTCCTCTAATTTGACATTTTGTTGGTATACGATGCTAACGCAAACGGCGCATTGAGGGTGATGGTAGTTCGTGACGGATTTGCCGTCACATTTCGACGGGCGCGGCGAATCGCATCGACTGGCGATTCATGTAAATTTAATAGTACGATGTCGCTTGAAATTCGCGATCACCGCGTCGAATTTACTTCGTTCTATCAGGATTAGATAGACCCTTTAATTTCTCATTAACGCAGCTTCACGCGGATTACTCGAAAAATGGGATTATAATATGATGGATTACATTGTCCGTTTATTTTATTTAAAGAATTTATCTGACATATCAAAGTGAATGATGTATCTCCATTCATTTTTTCGTGCAGATTTTTATTACCAATTCAACAATGATGAGTGCTTTCCGGCGGAAAACATTCATTCGACGTGTATCACAAATTCTACGCGGAAATACATAGGGACTACCGTTAAAAGATATACTATCAAGTACCTTCACAGTTTATGCGATCGCGTGATTATTATCTGACTCTAAGTGGAGTAGGAGACGTACTGGTACTCCCCGTGACTCATGCAAGGAATTTACTGAGACTACCGTCGTTATACATGCCCGCTGCAGAATCGATATGACACGTACACTTTCAGGAATGCTAGACAAACTAGTTTCCCCACAGTATATATGATTTCATTCATACTTTTAAGTTATTATAACTTACTCTCGTTTTGAACGCATCCGCGTTCTAGAGTTAATTGCGTGATATAATACATCTAAATATATTTCAGATTTCTTAAGTATTTAAAATTTTTTAAAACGATCTTGAAAATGCTGAGAAGGATTTGATTAAAAATATTAGACTGTACTGTCATATCCTTCGCGCGAAAAGGTTTCCGAAGGGTGCGTCCTTCGTACATCGTACCCGCGCGTTGATTTATGACGCGACGAAAATTATTGCCGCTGTTAAAATACCACCGGGCACATTTATTGACAGACATACGTCGCCTTTTGCGCCCTTGTTGAGAAACACGATGGCCCTTTAAGGCATTTTAAGCAGATCTTAAGCGCCGAGCGTGAAGCTAATCACGTTGATGCTAACGTTAGCGTGTTTAACATTGTTATCGAAATTTACGCGCGATACCGTTTCCTTCTTGCGGTGCCGGAAATGCGACATTAAATTCTGACGTTATCATCGCACGGGAGCTTTTAAATCCTGCGTGTGGACGCGACGTTCGAACAAAAAGTCCACGAGTCGTGAAAAAGCATTGTCGCTGCGGCAAAAATTGCGTACGTGCGGTAACTGCTTACGACTTCTTTTGCCGGTAGCGGTTTCTATTTATACCGTGCCGTAACATGTTTTCCGCTTATCAGTATCTTATTGTCGGCGCTGTGCCGCGCTTTCTTTATTAATCTCGTTTGTACGTGGTACGCCGCCGCCGCTGCCGCTGCTTAAAAAAGGAACCATGCATTCTGATAACGCGATTGCTGAAGAGAAATGTTCAGGGCAAGTTACTTCACGTGTAGAATTAAATCGTCATATCTGATAGGAAAGACTGCGTTTTAATTTTAATAACTAGATTTAAAAATAATGTCACGTATGATTTAAAAAAAAATAAATTTTCGTACTTTCCTCCGTACGTTACACGGTATTCCGAAATCAAATTTATCATTAAAAGGACAGCTGTAGGTATAATAAAAAAAGATGTAATTTTTCTTTATATCAGTTTCCTATTATTCTGGCGATTGTCAGACATATCCTTATATGCGCCACGGTATTCCATTACATGCCGCTTCGCGTTGTTTGAAGCGACTCGTAATATCTCGGCGAGGAAGGCGCATAGGTGAAATTCTGCGGGTCCGGGGGTGGCGTCGCAGAACGCGGAGGGCATAAAAAGATTTCATGGCTCGTTTTCTGACCGAGGGACATAATATTTTTCGTGGTCGGACATTCGAGGCGCGCGTGGACCACCTCTCTCTACCTTTCTTCTCGCTCGCTGCATTAACAAAATAACGTAATAAAATCTGAGTGCTCTCCATTGCTTTCTGCCCATCTCCTCCCCCAAGCCCTCGTTCCCGTCTGTCCGCAGCTATCCCTCATCGCCTCGTCTTTCTTCTTTTTCTAGGTGGGCATTCATAAAGTCCGATACATTGTGCGCCGAGAGTTATATTCGTCATGGCTGTAACCGTCGACGGTGGTGGACACGCGATCGGCGAAAGGATCGATGTCCTGCGACGTCTGCGATCACCCAGTAGCGGCACGTAACGGTGAGTCGCCTTTTTTCCTGATTAATTCACAACCAACGACGGTACGAGCGTGTTCGCCGTTCGCTTTATGACTTATTGACTCCACCCTGCGTCCGTCTTTAACATTTTAGCGCGGTTGTCTTATACGGAGTTCCCTTTACGTGTTATTCGTAAAATCTCTTGCACATCAATCGCGGTGAAAGAATATTTGTTCTTTATATCGTACTCCAGTAATCATGTATTTCCGTTTGCGTGCGCATAAATACAACGTCGTGGATGACTCTTCACGACGTTAAGATACATAAAAAATAAATATGCGCGAGAAACGCGTCGTCGTTTCTCGCAGGCTATACGAACGCGTCGCACTGCGGCTGTAAAGCTCGTCCGCAATAACCAACCTTTCTTCTTCGAGTTTCCGAGCTATTCGGGAATGGGGCCGGGAGGGGGCTGCGCCTCCAGGTCGCGACATTAATTTCGCTCGAGCCGTTGCAGCGGCTTCCGAGTTTCGGATTTCGAGCACGCCCGAGGAGCGCGATTCGCCGCGATATTGCCGGGGCTTTACGAGCAGCCATCGGTGCAATTCAGGCAGTTTTTAGGGTCAAACGAATAGCTAATGCAAATACGGCTTCTCGCGCCCGGCATTATTTCACCTCCCCCTGCCGCAACCGGCCGTTAGTCTGGGCTTCTCGGCGTCGAGAATCCTCCTCCTCCTCCTCCTCCTCCTTCTTCCTCTTCCTCCTTGCTCCTTCATTCGTCCGTCTATCCTTTCCTTCGCCCCTGCTGCAGGCATTACACGAAATCTTAATGCCCTTCGTTATCAATTAAGACACGGTCGTTGCAATTAATTTCGTGGCCGGTCACCCCGTCTCCTGTCGCTGGAAACGGCAGACGGAAACGGCGTCGTCGTCTTACGCGAAAGGAACTTTCCTTCTCGATGTGTACATGAATGAGATTGCGCATGTAACGAGCGTAACGATTTTCTGGCGACTCTGAATACAGTTGATTTGTGGAGACTGAAAAAGTATCGGTTCACATAACAGTTACAGTTGAACGCGTGATAAATCACACATTTGATGAACGTGTTAGCGTAACGCCCGTCGATGTCGATTGCGATCGATTGTTTAAAGATTCATGGAATTAATGTACAATAAAAATAATCGTTTCTTCTATTCTTCGATAAATTGCACTTCATTGAGTGAGCTTGTCGCCGTTGAATGACATAAAAAAAAATATCGAACGTGCAACGTCATGGAAAGGGAGAGATAGATAGAGAGAGGGAGAGAGATTCAGATTAAAATCGAATTAATATGCATGCCTGCGCGCGAGTCCGCTTGGAAGCGACGGTGATGGAACGACGAAATCTATCTACTGTTGCCCGGTGAACAAACCTGTAATTTGTCAGAGCGGTTGGTCTCTAAGCCCCGGCATTATAATTTGCGCCTATGCAGAGAGCAAACTGGAACCAAGCCGAAAACGCGAGGAGGCGGGGAGGCGGGAGACCGGCAAGGGAGGAAGGAGGAAGAGGTTGAAAGGGGGGTCAACAGCCTCGGACACTCTTGGCTCGTACGCGAATCGATCGAGACTGGAACATCAGAGAGAGAGCGGCTAAGTATTCATGGCTGGCGAGGAGTTTCGGCGGCCAGGCCAAGCCGCCGATGAATTCCTCATGAGGGCCATGAATCTAATGGCGAATCAATCGCGAAATTACCGCCGGCGATGAAACGACGTCCGTTGGAATCGCTTTCGCGACGCGCCGACTTCCTCGAAGTAACTTCGAGTTGAACATTTGTCGTACGTTAACGTGACGTTCC